GGCTTCCCGGCGGGAAGGGTTAGGTGGGGTGTGGTGGGGGGGGGGGGAAGCAGGGGGGCTTTGTTTTGTTCTCCATTTCTTCTCTGTACAGGAAAGGTACAGCCCAGAGAGGAGCAGAGCCTCTATGCATGGATCACTGGTCATTGGGAGGAAAGGGAATGAGTCTTCAAGCACAAACTTTGGATCCCAAACTTGCTTACTATATTATTTTTCCATGTTAAATATATGAATATATGTGTTATTGGTATTGTTATTCAGGAGACATTTAACTTTCTTGTGGTATAATAGCTTGTTTTAGTTTTAGCATGTAATGAAGAGCTATGTACAAAAATGTGGCAAAATACTCTCGTGCTATAACATATATAGGACTTTTTATATTCCCTACATGTGTTAATTACCTGGGATATACTGCTCATTTTTCACCCTCTGTGTTATATTATGTTGTCCATCTTATTGCCTTCCCTGTGACCACACTGCAGTGCTCAACTAACACCAACCTCTGCCCTGCTAACACCGTCCACTGCCCTACTGACACATTCCTCGGCCTTGCTGTCACCATCCTCAGCCCTACTGACACCGTCCTCGGCTCTACTGACACCATCCACTGCCCTACTGACACTGTCCTCTGACCTACTGACACTGTCCTCGGCCCTACTGTCACCATCCTCAGCCCTACTGACACAGTCCATGTCCAAACTGACACCATCTACTGCCCTACTGACACCGTCCTCTGCCCTACTGACACCATCCACGGCTCACTGACACACACACCATCCACTACCCTATTGAAACTGTCCTCTGCCCTACAGACACAGTCCATTGCACTACTGACACCATCTTCTGCACTGTTGACACCATCCACTGCACTACTGACACCATCCACTACCCTATTCACACCACCCACTGCCCTACTCACAACGTCTACTACCCTACTTGCACTGTCCACTATTCTACTGACACCATTCTCTGCCCTACTGACACCATCCACTGCACTACTGACACAGTCCTCTGCCCTACTGACAAAGTCCTCTCCTCTATTGAGACCATCCTCTGCTCTACTCACTCCATCTACTACCCTACTGACACTGTCCACTATTCTACTGACATCATCCTCTGTCCTACTAACACCGTCCACTGTACTACTGACACTGTCTACTGCACTGCTGACACCATCCACTGCTCTACTGACACTGTCCACTGCCCTACTGACACCATCCTCTGCCCTACTGATAGCCATCCACTGCTCTATTGACACCATCCTCTTCCCTACTGACACCGTCCACTGCACTACTGACACAACCTACTGAATGAACACTGTAGACATAAGCACACAGATGTGCCCCAAAGGAAAAGGTAAATATTGTCAACTGTCATCAATGGTATAAACTCACTGCTGCCATAGTAAAACACATAAGTATATCAAGGAGTATTGACAAGAGTCAGGCACTGTGAAGTTTGTAATCATATAAAACACCTTATATGGAGGTGTGCCTTTAATAAAACATCACAGGGTAATATGATAAAACACAAGCCTGTGGCTTTAAGACGCCAGGTTTCCAGATGGACGGCCTGTCCACTCAGAGGGGAGCAGTGGAGGAGATGAATGCCTGTCAGATCAGGGACCACGTGGTTGCGATGTCCTGGTGTCCGGGACAACATGTTTCGTGCGCATGCGCTTTTTCAAGTCCAAGACCATCTACTGCCCTACTGACATCATTCACTGCCCTACTCACACCATCTACTGCCCTACTGACACTGTCCACTATTCTACTAACTCCATCCTGTGCCCTACCAACACCATCCACTGCTCTACTGACACCTTCCTCTGCACTACTGACATCATCCACTGCACTACAGACACCATCTACTGCACTACTGACATCATTCTTTGCCCTACTGACACTCTACTGACACTATCCTCTGCTCTACTCCCCCTAAAAGTCATACCAAGCCTTTAGGCCTGGTAGAACTTTTAAGGGGAACCCCACCCCCCAAAAAATGGGGGGGGGGGAGCATGATTACCAGGCCACGTGCCCTCGGCATTAGGACGGTGTTCCCATGCCAATGTGGACAAGGGCCTCTTCCCTACAACCCTCGCCTGATGGTTGTGGGGGTCTGAGGACAGGTGAGCTCATTAACATCAGGGTACCCCTTTAAATAAGGGGGCACCTTGATGCTTTGCCCCTCCTTGTGAATGTGTAAGGGGTGCTTGTACCCCTACCCGTTCACTAAAGGGTTAGAATTGTGAAATAATAAAGAAACCAGACGTTTGAAAATCCTTTATTGAAAAAAACCCAAAAAGCAGTTTTTGACAAGTCCTTTATTTAAAAATAAAAAAAGCCCCAAAAAATGATTCTAGCATTGTAATCCATTGTCAATCACGTCGTCCAGCGCTGTCACAACAACGCTGACTTGCCGAAACTTAAAAAAAAATTACCGCCTGTCAGATAAGTGCAGAAAAATTGGGCCTTGAGTGTTGGTGGTGCCTGAATACTGTAACGTCTCACAGTTACTCTTACTGGGCTCAGGAATAGGCCCTGCTATTAAAAATTGTTAACTATTAGAGAACGATTGTACAAAATTTAAATTGGATGCACCTGTCAAACAGGTGCAGAAAAATTGGGCCTTGGGTGTTGGTGGTGCCTGAGTACTGTTACCACTCACAATTACTCTTGCTGGGTGCAGGAATGGACCCTACTGTTAAATATTGTTAACAATTAGGGAAAGAATGTAAAAAAATGTAAATTAGATGCACCTGTCAAGCAGGTGCAGAAAAATTGGGCTTCGGGTGTTGGTGGTGCCTGAACACTGTATCCCCTTATTGTTACTCTTGCTGGGCGTAGGAATGTAACTTTGAGGAGGCATGAGATTCTGAGCCCTCTGGGTCACTGAGGATGACACTGTGAGGAACTACCTCCCCCCAGCCTTGTACTACTCCTGGCTGGGTTTCCGGGGACTGCAAACCATCCTTTGAAGACTGCTGTATGTTATCCTCTACATCCATGCTGCCACAATCCTCCTCTTCCTCCTCCGCCTGTGTGTTCTGCGGCCCCGCAGGAATGGTATCTGCATAAACGGGGCCTTGAGAGAAAAGTAAGTCCACCTCTTCCTCCCTGTTCTGCCTCAAGTGCCCTGTCCATGATTCTATGCAGTGTGTGCTCCAGCAGGAAGACTAGAGGGATAGTGTCACCGATGCATGTATTGTCATGGCTCACCATTCTTGTGACCTCCCCAAATGGTGACAGGATAGTGCATGCATCCTTTCTCATCATCCCCTGAGCCTGTCCTTGGGCCATACTCACATGGGTACTCATCGATGTCCCTCTGCTGTGTGTGCTGTGCTGCAGCATTGCCAATGTTGAGTTCCACCTGGTGGGCATGTCACAAATGAGGCAGTTGGTGGGTAGGTTGAATTCCCGTTGAATGTCAGCCAGCCAAACTCTGGCGATGTATGACCGCCTGAAGTAGCACAGACGTTTCTGGCCTGCCTCAGAAGATCTTGAAAGCCTGGGTACCTGTTCAAGAAATGCTGCACCACCAAATTCAGGACGTGTGCCAAGCATGGAACATGTGTCAAGTGTCCCTGTTGGAGGGCGGAGAGAAGGTTGGTGGCATTGTCGCATACAACTATTCCTGGCTCAAGATTCCATGATGTCAACCACCTCTGAGCCTGCCCCTACAGAGCTGACAGAATATTTGCCCTGGTGTGGCTCCTGTCCCCTAGACAGACCAGCTGAAGCACCACCATGGCATCTTTTAGCCTGGCTGCTTGAGTAGCCCCTTGAATGCTTACAGACCTTCTGGTTCAGAGGACAATTCAGCAGAAGAGGAGGGGGTGGAACAGACAGGTGTGGCAGAATCAACACCTGCTTTTTGGAGGCGTGGTAGTAGAACAAGCTCCAGAACCCAACCCTGAGTTACCCAGTGTGCCATGAACGATATGAAAAGTCCCTGACCATGCCTGCTGGACCATGTGTCAGCAGTAAAGTGGACCTTGCTGCTGACCGCCCTGTTCAACGAGGCCAAAAACATTGCCTTCCACATGATGGTACAGAGCTGGAATGGCCTTATGTGAAAAGAAATGTATTTTCAGAACCTGCCACTGTGGTACAGCATATTCTGCAAATTCATGAAGGGGCAGAGTCTACCAGATGAAAAGGCAGTAGTTGTAACACTAGCAATTTGGCCAAGCTAGCTTTTAGACAATGAGCATATGGATGGATAGGACAGTATTTTTTTTTACGATTCAGCAACTGGGGTAGCGGAATTTGCCTGCTGAGATTAACAGGTGGTGTACTTTTAGCAGATTTGGTGCAAGGACTTGTGGCACCCTTTGCTATACCATCACTCTCAGTGTAGGCTGTTGAGAAGACTTGAGGTTTTATAGTAGGGGTAGAGATCCCAAATGAGGAGCAATTTTTTAGGATGTGGGTCTTTCAGGTGCTGTTGCCAACTGGCTGCATGGCAGGTTGTCATATGTCTTGTCAAGCATGTGGTGCCCAGGCGGCTGGTGTTTTGGTCATGCTTCATCCGCTTCAGACAGAGACTGCAAACACCAACGCTGCGGTCTGCTGCACATATGTTGAAAAAAGTCCACACCATTGAACTTTTGTAAGTTAGTCAGGAGTCTGCAGCGTCCTGCACCTGTGGAGCTCTGTCGTGTGATGCAATAGGGTGGGTGCCCTTACACCTGCCCCTGGAGGACATCCTGCCTCTTTGGAGTTGTGCCACTTTCCTCCTCTGTTCTCTCAGGCACCCAAGTACAGTCAGTGACCTTATCATCCCCTCCCTCCTAGTCATTGGAGCCAACTTGGCAGTGTGCTGCGGCTGCGGGGAACTTGACTACCAATTTTTTTCCCTCATTGGCAACCCCTCTGTCTAGGCTCACGTCACTCCCTTCCTCGACCAGGGAACCAACATTGGAGAATTCAAATTGCTGTGCATCCTCCAGCAGCATGTAACTGACACTACAATCAAATAATTCTGGTGAGTCCTCTGCAGGGGCGGACTGACCATTTGGAAACTCGGGCAGTGCCCGAGGGCCCGGGGTCAGTAGGGGGCCCCATGAGATGCTCCTGGTACCTTTTTCCATAGGCTTTTTTGAGTTTGGGCAAGGACACAGGGGCCCCATGATCCCCTATTGCCCGGGGCCCCATGAGTTGTCAGTCCACCCCTGCTCCTCTGTGCATGATGGTGGGGCTACGGAAGGAGCAGCTGTGGTAGACAAGGAGCCTGTGGAATAGGCTGCTTTGGCAGCTGCGGTGGAAGGCAAACTAGTATGAGCCTGGGTGACAGAGGATAAGGAGGATGAAGATGGCTTAGTTATCCACTTCACCACCTCTTCTGCATGTTGTGGCTCAATAACACAGCCAGCACTGGAAAAAAGGGCAAGCATGCCCTGCCTGCAGAGTATACAACATGTCAACAACCACCACTTTTCACTGTGGACACAGAGGCTGCTTGCCCTCTCTTAGCTGCCTGTGAGTGTCTGCCTCTCCTTGTTGGCCTTTCAGACATGATGGGGATTTTTATAACGTTTTATTTTTGACTGTGGGATGGGAATTTTTAATGCTTGGTTGCAATACTTTTGTGCTTGGTACACTATAAGCCGATTTATTTATTTACAGAAAATAGGGGGTTCAGCAATTATGGATATTTTTTTATTACTGCTGCTATGGCAAAAAAAAAATGTAAAAAAATTAAGAAAGCCAAAAAAGAAATTGTGACACAGAAGGAAGAACACCTGTAACTCAGAAAAAGGAACAGCAATTATGCCTGCAATATTTATGCTGCTGCTGCTGCGGCAAAAAAGAAAAATTAAATAAAAAAAAAAGAATTCAGAAAAAAAAAAAAAGAAAAAACAGGGAACCACTGCTGACACAGAAGGAGGAACGCCTGCGATGCAGCAGAGTGAACAGCACTTATGTCCTATATAGTTTTAGTGCTGCTGCTGCAGCCAAAAAAAAAATTAATTCAATTAAAAAGTAAAAAGGAAAATAAAAAAAAAGGAAAACACTGCTGGGCACCTTAATTATGTTATTGTAACCTGAGACGGTGCTATTTATCCCTTGTGTGGTTTGAGTATTCCCCCACTAGGGGAAGTTCCCCGGACATTCAGGCGCCCAGAGTTTTCCACTTAGGGGGAATCAACTTTTTCCCACATTGGTTGGAGGCAATATTCCACCTCTGCCTGTAGTTTGCGTTCTACCTGCTCCTTGGTCTGCTTCTTTTGACCTTTGCTGTGTGGGTACATGCGCTATTGCTGGGCACCTGCACTGGACGTGACGTCACATACCGGCCTGAAGTCAATTAGTACCAGACATCTGCGTGGTGGCATCCAACCCAGTGGGGCCATTTAGGGAGGAGGGGTGAGAAGCAGGTCCCGCTGCTGTAGGTTTACGCTGTGACTGGGACACATTGAATCACTATACCATATGTGAGTATTAAAGTTTGATATCTGGAATAATATATCTGTGTCCTGCATACTGGGGGGATACTTATTGTTTTGATGGACTGTTCTTTATATTATATTATATTATATTATGTGTTGTGCTATCATTGATGTAGCCTTTCCCCAGTTGTGGGTAACAAGTAGGGTTGGTTTGTTTGGAGGATTTAATTACAACTTAGTGACTTGTCTTTGCTGTTCTGCCTTCTTTTTGATACAAACAATCCTCTCCTCACGAGCATTAACTTATTTGGAGCAGCTGTGGACAGTTACACCATGGTCTCTGGACCAGCTAGGTCCTTGTATAGGGTTAAGTGGTCCTCTTCCATGTGGTTATTTACTTGATATTGATGGATGATAGATAATTTTCCATATCATGTGTCTTGTTTTTTTTGTTTTGTTTTTTAGTGGGTAGGGCTAATGGCTTTTCCATCCCTTGTTTTTACATCACTGTAGGGTTATATGTGCACGCTCTGTCCCCTCAATATATTCCAATTGGGTAGGAGCATGTAAGTATGCATAACTGAATGATCATATAGGATATATGTATTTTACATTTTTATTTTCATTATTACTATTTTTGTTAGACTATATTGTACTTTTTATTTTATTTTTAATTTTAGTGTGAATCTATTGGCCAATAGTAGCCTGTTTCTCCCTTCTCTCTTCTTGGCCCAATTTCCAGGTAGCCCTCCCTTGCTGTCTTTGGTGAGGTGAGGGTGTTTCAACTACACACATAGCGCCCTCTCAGGAAGTAGTGGTAACTGAGATTCAAATAGTTGTGGGTATCAAGTAAGGTTGGTTTGTTTGGAGGATTTAATCACCACATAGTCTGTAAATTAGAGATGTTCATGTTATCTACCTGAATGGTACTATTGCTATGTAATAATTGTGAAAAAATTATTTGGACAGTCCCGCAAGGTCCCTGATGAAGCAGATGTGAACTGCAAAACGTATCAGTATTACAAACAGGACACTACCTCATCTTTGAAGCTTTATGATTTTAAGAAAAGTTTTGTACACAATGGATATGGAATTGCTTCTTACAATTTATATGTGAACTAATACATATTATTATTTTATCTATTATAATCTGTATGAGTACAATGCCTTTAAAGTCCCACCTTCACTGAGGGTTTCCCTCCAGTTTGTCTAAAATTAAGAAAAAAAATTAACAATTAAACATGAGAACAGTGGTGATGCAGAAGTGCTGTAAAAACAACACGAACACCACTAGACTGCTCCACAACACCGCACTACACTGACTACACTGTCTACCTAACCTCACCTAACTAACTCCACACCAACACACTACACAAGGCTGCTGTGTAACTTATGTTCGACTCAAATATCTAGCCCAACACTAATATCTATTCTTAGGCGTAACGATTACTTGTAGACTTTAACAGGTATGTGTTCACTTTAAAACAAAGCTATATGACTTTTTTATTGGAATTTGTGGCGCTGAAATACATACTGTATATACATGTAGTCCTAATGGTAGCTACCACTCTCTATGTGTGAGATACAGTAAATGCACAAGTACTCACCCACAAAGAAATCCATGCAAATCCAAAACAGTTAAAGAGACACTCACGGGTCTTTCAGAGGAGATAAATCAAAATAACAATGTTCTTATTGCTGATGCTTCAATGATGCTAAGTCTATCTTTCCCGACACATCTTGAGAAATATGGACTGAGCTTCATTGAAATGCAGACCATAAAAACTCTGGGTTTTTTTAATAACCTCAGCTGCAAGACCCATGTGTGCCTGTATATCTGTTTTGGATCAATATAATCAATATATATATATATATATATATATATATATATATATATATATAACAAACGCATGTAAAAAGCAAGTTGTATAATGGACAAGTCAGGGTGATTATTTAGAAAAATGCATTGAAACATTTTGGTAAATGTATTTATTTCAGGTACTTATATAGCGCCGCGCATTTACGCAGCGCTTTACATATATATTGTACATTCACATCAGTCCCTAACCTTCAAGGGGTATACAATCTAAGGTCCCTAACTCACATTCATATACTAGGGCCAATTTAGACAGGATCCAATTAACCTACCAGCATGTCTTTGGAATGTGGGAGGAAACCGGAGTACCCAGAGGAAACCCATGCAGGCACAGAGAGAACATGCAAACTCCAGGCAGGAGGTGCCATGGCTGGGATTTGAGCCAACAACCCTAGTACTGCCAGGTGGAAGTGCTAACCATTTAGCCACTGTGCTGCCCGAAGTAAATAAAGTATATTCATAAATCTAATAACTTGCATCAAACCGATAAATATTTAAAATTACAAATACTTTTTTAGCATCATGCAACTATAAATCTAGTCTCTTTGCAAGAAACATCACCCATTTCAGGGAGAAATATAAAGTAAGTTTTTTAGATTGTATGACTAACACAAAACCAGACTGACCAAGTGCTACCTTTAAGACCTTTCTTCAATAAAATTACATCAAGCAATATCTCCCAAATACCAATGAATCATAGATGATTCGGGTGTTTTATGGGGAGATTACTGTGTGATTCCAATAACATATTTCATATCAAAAAGCTTTGCGGACACAAGTCCACTGTACTATTTCACAATACTGTAATATTCTGTTCATCCCACAATACTGCGTAACATAGATACGTTAAAGGAAAACAAAACTGAACTTCCAGTAATTATCATTATAACAATTATAATGGTAATGTAAAACATTTTCATTATTTTTATGCTGTGGCAACGTTTTCTGCATTTGTAGAGTAGCTGGTTTCCCTGTCGCCTTCTTAACTCTACAGTAGTAAACTATTGTTCAGTCTTTATAATCTCCCCCACCTGTGGAGGTAGGACATCAAGCTCCTACAATATACTGTGCATTGCTAAGGCTTGCAATATCAATATTATCCTGGCATAAACTGGAGGAGCACAATATTATAAAAGCCAAGTGACTTTTTATTTGATACATACATGGAGAACATTTCTACTAGGTTCCTGAAGAACTGGTTGAAACTCGTTGAGTGGGTGGCCCTGTTGGCTGCCTACTGCCCCACATCTCCCGATTGAAAAATCAAAAGGAGCTGGAACACATTTGCCAACCAAACAGTTCCTACATCCAATTGGATTCCGGCACTGTTTATGTATTTTTACATCTGGCGGAGCCAGTGGTCAAAATTCAGTAGCTTCAGCAGAAGATTTGTCTATCTGCTCTGTCTACCATGGATAAAGCAATCTGTTAAAAATTTTCTGGTTGAAGGAAAAATTTTATATGTATATGGTCTGCTTTAGTACAACAAGCATCTATGTCTATTAGAATTGTTAAAGCTCAGTTACAACCTCTTCTCTATCCCCCTTCTGGATGCCCCCAGCTAGTAATTTTTGTTGTTTTTATACCTTTTCCAGATGTCTTCAGGCCAGTCACATTACACACATGGTTCTCTTCCTCTTCCCTTTTTCTCTGGCACTGGACAGTCCCCAGTCATGGTGCTAACCAGGAGTGGACTGACCATTTGGAAACTCGGGCAATGCCCGAGGGCCCGGGGTCAGTAGGGGGCCCCATGAGATGCCCCTGGTACCTTTTTAATAGGCTTTTTTGAGTTTGGGCAAGGACAGTTTCCATGATCCCCTATTGCCCGGGGGCCCCATGAACTGTCAGTCCGCCCCTGGTGCTAACGTGATGACTTTGGTCTCTGCATTGCTATATTGCCTCCTCTGGGGGTGGGTTCATGACACCCTTCACTCACAGGTCATACTCAGCCTTCCAGGTTGAATGACACTGGCTATCATTAATCCTGAGAACATCAGGGATGAAAAGGAATCATTGAAAGTGACAGAGCAAGAGAGAAAGTAAGAATTGCAGCTAGAGTTACTTTATTTTTAAACCATGGCTTAAGCATTCATCTTAAAAAAAAAAACTGAAATTGGTCTTTGAGTAGGGAGATCATATCTTCAAAAATATTTTGAAAAATTACAAAGCTCAGTATACTCTTAGCAAGTGTTTTCTTCATTCAGTATGCACAACCACTGTCTAGTACATACATATACTATAAGACAATTTTCCTATCACTACTAAAATTAAATGGAAAATGTTCAATCCCTCAGATCTCCTGTCTACCCAACACTGATCTTTTAAATTGGTTCTGCAGGCTGAATTTTTTTTTGCTTTCATGCATAGAATGCCTTAACTATGCAGTTCTCTCATCAGCTGCCACCTTTTGCCTGGGTTCAAACTAATGCGGTGAGGAATTTGCACCAGTTTCCGCACCGCATTATAATCACACCCTGTTCATACAAACCACTGCGGGTGTGTATTTTAAGTTAGCGACACACCGAAATCAGTTCACAAAAAAGCGGTGTGATGTGCAGAATCGGATCATATGGGTGTGAAAGGGTCCGGCACTTTTGAGATTGTTGGCACCTTACTTACCTCACTTGCATTACGTCTTCTTTCTGGGACACTTAGCCATACTGGGGTGGATTTACTAAAGGCACATAGACTATGCACTTTGCAAGCGCAGTTGCACGCATTTTCCCCAGGGTTTAGTAAATGCTGTAAAACTTCACTTTGTAAAAAATACCCAATCACAAGCAAGGAAAATAAAAAAACAGCATTTTTGCTTTCACATGATTGGATGATGAAAATCACCAGAGCTTTTAATCATTTGCTAAGCTCTGGAGCAACTACACTTGCAAAATGCACAGTCTATTTGCCTTTAGCAAATCAATCTCCTAGTCCCAGTTAGTAGAGCTTAAATTGTGATCTCTACCTGCAATCTGAATGTCTGATTAAAGACCTCTGCATCCTGATCTGCTAGACTGCCATTTTTTATTTAGAACTGGCATCTGTCTGTGTTCTTGGCTCATTCTTGTATATTTGCTACGTCTAGTCACCACTGGTTATAACATGAACTGTGTTTGGCTTCTTTTTTAGGTGTGCCACTTTCCCTGACATTCTGCTTGTCCAACCTATCCTGACTGTCATGTTTCACTTGACTGTCATGTTGACTGTCATTTACCTTTAAATGTTATCAGTGTTTTGTCTCTGCTCCTCCCTTTCCTTTAGTTTAACGAATGTTGCATAGATAGCCCTCCCCCCTTCCCAGAGATGCATTGCAGCAGCCTCATGGCAAGAAGCAGAAAAAGTATGTTCTTTCAACCTATCGAATGTTTATTGTTGTAAGATTCTCTCAGTTTATGGAATAAACTTCACAACATCTGCAAGATATCATTCTGATCGAGTCACTGACTGTGGACCCCAACTGAGGTTGAAGTTATCACCATCTCATCACAACTGTAAGTTACAGAGATCACACTATCAATGCTTAGATTGGACACACAGAACAGTCAAAAGAACGGTTGAATGCTTCATCCTGGCTAGTCAAAAGAACAGTGGAATGCTTCATAGGAATCCTTGCTAACTACTATACACAGTGAGATGTTACATGGATACTGGATATAACAGCTATAGAGAGTGCAGCCACCTCTACACAAGTCTGTACATGTCTGCAAGTATATCCCAGCATAACACTCATCAGTGTCAGGACACATTATTGATGTGAATGTTTTACAACTGCAAGTTTATACACTGCATGTGTACACATTACCACACAACTCTTGTCTGTGAACTTATAAGAAAGAAAATGATTGCATTAAAACCTGAACTCAGTCAGAGAAGAAGTTATACATTTCTCTGTAAGCTTTCTATCAACCCCTCTCCTTGCTAACATGATGTTTCAGGAGAGCAATATACAGTCTGGGGAAACTAATACACAACCACAATCAGAGCTTCATCCAGAGCAGGACTTAAACCCTGAATTAGATAAAAGAGAAAAACGCTTAAGAAATCTAACCTGGTAGGTACAAGAAAATCTTAATGCTGACAAGTCAGAATTGCTGTCTAATATTAATGACTTATGGTCTACTACTGTTAAATGCATGTCTGCTCTCTCCCAACAATCTCATGAGCCATTACAACTAGAGGGCGCTATCCAGCAATTTAATGTTGCTTATGAGAATTATCAAAGACTGTGTGTTAAATATATTGCTCTGTTAAAGCGGTACAACTGTCAATGGTCATTGGAAGAATTAATGAGTTTTGAGGAGCTCAATATTGAAAGAGACAATTTAGTGGTGTAAACAAAGACAAAGGCAGAGGTGAGAATAGCACAGCTTTATGAATCCAGATCTTATCGCTCTGCGTCTACTAGACGTCCCTCAAGATCTTCCAAATCCCTACACTCAAGATCTTCTACACTCAGTCAACAACTAATAAAAGCCCGTGCTGATGCTGAAGCTTCTAAAATTCAGGCAGCCTTCACCCAAAAGAAAGCAGAAATGGAGGCTCAGGTCACACATCAGAAAGCAGAAAGAGAGGCTCAGGCCGCAGAAATAGAGGTTCAGGCCACACATCAAAAAGCACAAATGGAGGCTCAGGCCGCACCTCAGAAAGCAGACAGAGAGGCTCAGGTCGCAGAAATAGAGGCTCAGGCCACACATCAAAAAGCACAAATGGAGGTTCAGGCCACACATCAAAAAGTAGAAAGAGAGGCTCAGGCCGCAGAAATAGAGGCTCAGGTTGCATATAAGAAAGCACAAATGGAGGCTCAGGCCGCACCTCAGAAAGCAGACAGAGAGGCTCAGGTCGCAGAAATAGAGGCTCAGGCCACACATCAAAAAGCACAAATGGAGGCTCAGGTCACACATCAGAAATAGAAAGAGAGGCTCAGGCCGCAGAAATAGAGGCTCAGGTTGCATATAAGAAAGCACACAATGGAGGCTGAAGCCACACATCAAAAGGCAGAAATTGAAGTTTTGGAAAAACAATGTGAGCATGCCACAGCCATGGCAAGGTTAAGGGTCTTAGAACAAGCCGCTAGTGAAAACGAAAGAGACAACAGTTCCAGACACTCAGTTGTATCTTATGTCTCAGATTCTTCACACACCTCTCCAGAACATCAACTCCCTGTCACAGAAGCCAAAGTACTCAATCAAAGTATCTTCTCTGCACCTACTGTACCTCAAGACCATTTGCCTTTATATCCTCTAATACATCAGACTGCAGCATCTCACTCAGCCGCAGACACTGGTGTGTATTTAACAGACCGTCCACCCTACTTTGACACCAACAGAGTACCGTATATGCTCGAGTATAAGCCGACCCGAATACAAGCCGAGGTACCTAATTTTACCACAAAAAACTGGGAAAAACTATTGTCTCGAGTATAAGCCGAGGGTGGGAAATGAGGCACCTACTAGTCAATGTAAAAAATAAAGATAGAGACCAATAAAATCACATGAATATTTATTTAAACGAAAAACAGTAAAATAGCTCTGTAAGTGGAAAATGGGGTCAACAAAAACAATATGGTATCAAAAATACCGTATCTTGTGGGAGGAATAGTGTGCCCCATCATTAGTATCAGTGGGAGGAATAGTGCCCCATCATTAGTATCAGTGGGAGGAATAGTGCCCCATCATTGGTGTCAGTGGGAGGAATAGTGTCCCATCATTGGTATCAGTGGGAGGAATAGTGCCCCATCATTAGTATCAGTGGGAGGAATAGTGCCCCATCATTGGTGTCAGTGGGAGGAATAGTGTCCCCATCATTGGTATCAGTGGGAGGAATAGTGCCCCCATCATTAGTATCAGTAGTGGGAAGAAATAGTGCCCCATCATTGGTGTCAGTGGGAGAAATAGTGCCCCATCATTGGTATCAGTGGGAGGAAAATAGTGCCCCATCATTGGTATCAGTGGGAGGAATAGTGCCCCATCATTGGTGTCAGTGGGGAGGAATAGTGCCCCATCATTGGTGTCAGTGGGAGGAATAGTGCCCCATCATCATGGTGTCAGTGGGTCAGGAATAGTGCCCCATCGTTGGTGTCAGTGGGAGGAATAATGCCTCAACATTAGTATCAGTGACACCAATGATGCGGCACTATTCCTCCCACTGACACCAATGACACTTGCTGACCCCTGTTGCAGTATGGTGCTGCTGCTGCAGCCAGCATATGTGGTTGCAGCAGCACCTCTGCACTGCACACTTACCGGCTTTTCCCTCACTCGATTTTCGCGGGTCCGCTCGGCTCCGCCTCCTCGCCCGTGATTGACCACCTGTGTACCTTTCCTGAGCTACAGTTCTGGCGGCCAATCACCGGTGAGGAGGCGGAGCCGAGCGGCAGGAGTGAGGGAGTGGCCGGAGTGACGGAAGGAGCAGCGCTTCCTGGATGGATCGCCAGGTAAGAGACAGCAGCCCTCTGCCCACCCCTGTACGCGCCCCCCTTGACGGAGCCTCGCGCCCCCCCCAGACGTTGACTCGAGTATAAGCCGAGGGGGCCATTTTTCAGCACAAAAAAATGTGCTGAAAAACTCGGCTTATACTCGAGTATATACGGTACCTCCTAGCAAACGCACTACTCTACAAACCAACATGCCAGTGGACTTTAAGCCAGCTCCGGCATGGAATGCCTTAGCAGCAATATATATTCCCAAGTCACTCCACGTAAGTCCACCAACCATCACAACCAACTCTGTTCCACCTGCAGTCATGCACCCAAAATTTGAAAACACGGACATGTCACAGTTTGCTAAATACATGCTCTGCAGAGAGCTTGTTAAGGCAGGCCTCACCAAGTTTTATGACAAGCCTGAAAATTACAGAGTCTGGAAATCCACTTTTAAGGCCACAATGAGTGACCTAGACATCAATGCCACAGAGGAATTAGATCTACTCATCAGATGGCTAGGTCCCCAGTCTACTGAACGCATCAAGAGACTCAAAGCAGTTCATATTGACAACCCTGCAGCAGGTCTTAATGTTGCTTTGGTTAGACTTGAACATACCTTTGGCAGCCCAGAGGCCATTGAAGATGCTTTTTTCAAAAGGTTGCAAAGCTTCCCAATGATTTCTGCTAGCGACAACCTAAAGTTTCAAGAACTCAGCGATGTTCTATTAGAGGTTCAACTTGCTATGGCTGACATCAACTTACCTGGTCTCAGTTACCTTGACACCTCTCATGGCATTAAATCTATTGTTCTCAAGTGACCATATGGAATTCAAGAAAGATGAGCAGCACTTGGATCAAACTATAAGGAAGAAGACATAGAGTTGCCTTTCCTCCTTTTTCCTACTTCTGCGAGTTCATCAAAAGAATTGCAGACACTAAGAATGACCCAAGTTTCTCATATGGGTTACATATGGGTCATATGTAACTCTCTCAGTCCACTCTTTCAAAGACCTACGAACATACATATGTCACACAGAGACCGTAGAGGTCCAGCGTTAGTGAAAAAGGACTAATGTTCTACCTGCACCTGCTACAGTTCTTGAAAAGACTGATCAAAACAAGAAAATTGAGGACCCAAATCGCCAATGTCCAATACATAACAAACCCCATCCACTTAAGAAATGTATGGGCTTCAGAAAGAAAACCCTCCAAGAACGTAAGGAACTTTTGAAGAAATTTTGGGTTTGCTACAAATGCTGTGCCTCCTCAGAACACTTTGCAAAGGACCGTAAAGCGATCATCAAATGTATAGAGTGTGACAGTGATGACCATGGGGAGCGCGCAGCGATCGGCGGTGCGCTGTGTCCCTCGGACACAGCGGATCACCGATCACGGAAAGAGCCGAAGATGTCGACTCGGACATGTGCTCAGCTTTGTCCAATCACAGCTGATCACATGTAAACAGGGAAATGCCGGTTATCGGCATTTCTCTCCTCTCGAGCTGTCACAGCTCGAGAGGAGGAGAGCCGGTAATCGTCTTTCCGCGGAGGGGTCATGTACACTGATCATCAGTGCACCATCTGAGCTGCCTTTCAGTGTCACCCATCAGTGCCAGTCAGTGCCACCTATCAATGCCAATCAGTGCCACCTATCAGTGCTGCCAATCAGTGCCACCTATCAGTGCCAGTCAGTGCCGCCTATCAGTGCCTGTCAGTGCTGCCTCAGTGCCGCCTATCAGTGCCTGTCAGTGCCGCCTAACAGTGCCAGTCAGTGCAGCCTATCAGTGCCAGTCAGTGCTGCATATTAGTGCCAGTCATTGCCGCCTATCAGTGCCATATGTCAGTGCCATGTATCAGTGCTGCCTTTCAGTGCCAATCAGTGATGCCTGTCAATACACATCAGTGCCACCTACCAGTGCCTCCTCATCAGTCCCACCTATCAGTGTCCATCAGTGCAGCCTATCAGTGCCCATCAGTGCACCCTTAATAGCGCACATCAGTGAAGGAGAAAAATCACTTATTTACAAAATGTTATAACAAAAACTAAGAAAATTTTTTTTTTCAAAATTTTTAGTGGTTTTTGGATTGTCTAAGAAAAAATAAAAAAATCCCAGAGGTGATTAAATACCACCAAAATAAGCTCTATCTGTCACAAAAAAATGATAACAAATTCATATGGGTACAGTGTTGCATGACTGCGCAATTGTCATTCAAAGTGCGACAGCACTGAAAGCTGGAAATTGGCCTGGGCAGGAAGGGGGTATAGGTGCCCTGTAGGCTAGTGGTTAGAGTTGAGCTATAATGATTTGGGGTTAATTCTATATTTTTACTCTTATAAAAATGTAATGCTACACTATATAATTTATCATAATATGCTGCAACACATATCCATGAATGGTACCCCAACACATCTAGCCATTGCACTATACCATACATGCATTTTAACACACCATAAGGTACAGATATCCATCATCTGTGCATTGTGGTGCACTGTGTTGTGTTGGTTCATAGGCCTTTAATTATGCCTTGTACTGTTTTAACAGCCCATTTAAAATCAGTGGTCTGCCATAACAAAAAATGTATGTTATTATGTGAAATACTGCCCATAAAGTCATGGAAAATAACATATTGGAATAATCTGAATGGACCCTGAAGAACAATTTTAACTGGAGTGTAGCTTCAGTATAACAGTCTGATGTAAAGTATGCATTATATTTGTTTCGGAAATTCCCACAGACAAAGGCTGACAATTCTTATATGTTTTTTTCCACTATAAACATTCTGTATGAAATAGCAGGCCTATGAGTAAAAATGTTCAGTCTCTGATGACAGAGCAATGTTTGTCGTGTCTACAGAAATAGACATTTCAGTCATCTGTTGCATCCACATGAATCATCATTGATTTTATCATGTGCCTCATGCATACACCTACTAAAGTGAAATATTCACATTCTATAATACAAACAGCACAATTTCATAATTTTGTTATTATTATAATACATGCATTGTATAGCACAAACAGTTTGCACAGCGCTTTACAACATAAAGGGAGGCAGTACAGTTACAATACAATTCGACACAAGAGAGTTAGAAATACCCTGCTCATGATAGCTTACAATCTAAAAGGGAGGGACAAGTGATACCAAAGGTAATAAACGAAGGTCACAGGCACATTTTAGGCAATGGGCTCAATTCAATAAAGCATATCAGGTCACGTGACACATTTTCCCCAAATATCGTATGCGATACTGCAAATGTCAATTCATTATCCCTTTATGTGGTACTTACTTCAAAAAGCGAAAAGACCTGGTAAATACGATATAGAACAGTGTTAAAGTCAATTCACTGAAGGAAATAAATGCATGTGTTAAATAAGTAGTGGTCCAGGTATGCAATAGTTAAAGAATATTTTCATTTTAGCTGGTTGTCAAAGAGCTGGCACCCTCAGGAAATAGCTGGTTGTTAAGGTCCGGCAGCTGCCAGAATCCTTAACAACCTGTGAATAACTGGTTGTTAAGGAGCCAGCACCCACTGCATCCTTAACAACCATAACTAATCTGCTGTTAGCAGGATTACCCACTGACAGTAGAATGTAAACAAGAGTTGGTGTTAAAAACTGTTTTCCTCCCCAACACTACCAGGTATGAATGCTGGCTGCCGACCGGCTTGAAAAAAAAAAAAACAGTCCACACCTGCCGCTTGGCCCCCGCCGTGTTACAGCACTGGTGCCCACCCACTGCTAAATAAACCCTTTGACATCTCTGGATGACCCCACTCCTTGTGACATCATCAACCCAACATGCACCTGTTGATGACATTACAGGGTACAAGAGTGTGGGTCACTTAGTGTGATATGGATTTTAGGGGGAAACCCCACACCATTAAAAAAAAAAATTGGCATGGGGTCCCCCTCAAAATCCATATTCAATGGGCCTGGTAAGGATTGGGGAGTAAGCCCCGCTGTTTTTTTAAAAAGTAGGCTTGTCTGTTGTTTCCATTCTGGTTCCGGGAGGATGTCCATGGACTCCTTCCTGTAGCAATAAAGACGCTCTGTAGCCATCTTTTGGGTATAGCATGGTAAGAAAGTGGTTAACCCTTACATATACCTAGTGAAGTTACTGGTCTCAGGTAATACACAGAGATGTAACAAATCCTCCTACATAAGTTGTATTCATCTATCTGCAGTCTTCTTTATATTTTTAGAGCTGTAAAAAAAAAGTAGAGTAGACAGCTGAACTTACACTCTGCAGAGATCAGTGAGGAGAGCTCTGAGAGCTGATTGGAGGGAAGAGACACACCCCCCTCTACACAGCACACAGAAACAAAGCTAAGGCTGTCAATCTGGTGGAGTTCCCTCCCCTGTCACCATTTTCCTTTTGGTGTCAGGAAAATACTTGTCAGAAGTGATTCGTGCTCATAGCAGAAGAAAGAGGCAGCAGACAGAAATAACACGTAGTGCTCTTAAATGAGGCAAGCACACACTATAGAGGGATATGCTTTGTTCATATTTCATGTCTGAGGTTTATAACCACTTTAAAGTAAACCTGTCAGAAACCAGGCAGTCTAAACTGATCTTCAGTAATAACTACTTTTCAAAACAATTAGCAGTTACAGAAAGAAACAATTCAGTACTGTCCGTGATCCTATTTTTATTTTCACTAACATACAATTTTGAGGACAAGCTTTCGGGGAGTGTCCCCTTCTTCAAGGTCCAAGCAGTACTCAATACTCAGTACTCAGTACTGCTTGGACCTTGAAGAAAGGGACACTCCCCGAAAGCTTGTCCTCAAAATTGTATGCTAGTGCAAATAAAAAAGTATCACGGACAGTACTGAATTGTTTCTGTCGCAAGTGCACTAATATGGCTACAATCACCTCAATCAGTTCCAGAAAGCTAATTAAATTATAAACGCATGTAGAATGTTCCTGTAAAAGTTCATCCTGACCCCACCTTTTACACCCTAAGCCTGCCTCTTGAACCTTTAATAGATGATTTTCCTTACCAATATGGAGACTTTCTGGGGAGTCGAATAGTCCATAGTTTACATATAATTTACATATAACTTCAGCACCCCAGATATAATTTTACTTTGCTCATGCATTCTTACGTCATATTCTTTGTTGTGATTCGGATTTGTGACAAATTCACATTACACAATTTGTCATTCTGATTGGGGTCTGGTTACTGGCAGGGAATCTCAGGTGATCAAAAATGGAATAAAGTTCCTTCAAATATTCTTAACACCTGTCCTTATCCCAAGGATATATTACAATGTTCTTTAGGGGCCTCATTGTCCTTTTAGGCTGTTGTGTTGCATATGTAGGATTTCACCCCTGCTTATAATAGTAAAAGTCTCCAGAAATATTTTTTTTCTCTTTTAAAAAAACCGTTTCAATACCGTGCAATTTTACACCTTCCTGCCCAGGCCATTTTTCAGGTTTCAGCGCTCTCACACTTTGAATGACAATTGCGCGCTCATACAACACTGTACCTAAACTAAAATGTTATCATTTTCTTCACACAACTAGAGCTTTCTTTTGGTGGTATTTAATCACCGCTGGGGTTTTTTATTTTTTGCTGAATTAACAAAAAAAGACCAAAAATTTTGAAAAAAAAACCACATTTTTCTTTGTTTCTGTTATAAAAGTTTACAAATAAATAATTGTTCTTCATAAATTTAGGCCAAGATGTATTCTGCTACATGTCTTTGGTGAAAATAACCCAAATTAGGATGTATTTTTTAGTTTCTAGGAAAGTTATAGAGTTCACAAAACTATGGTATAGATCTGAATATTGATCAATCCTGAAGTACTGACAGCCAATCTAATTTCTTGAGGTCCAAGAATGTCAGAATAGTACAGATATCCCCCAAATGACCCCTTTTTGCAGAGTAGACAGTCCGACGTACTTCATAAGAGGCATGGCGAGTTTTTTGAAGTTGTATTTTTTTGTCATAATTTTTCGGAAAATGAAAAAATTAAAAAAATTATTTTCACTATTTTTTTTTTACATACTGTCACCAGTGCAGTACAGCATCATCATATAACTGGCTTGGTGGTGAACAGGGACACTGACTGGTGACAGTATGAAAAAAAAAAATATATATATATATTTTTAATTTTTTTATTATATTTAATTTTTTATTACATTTTTTTTTATTTTTTTAAAGATTTTTTTTTCATATTTTACTATGACCAAAGTAGTACAATGTTACCATAGTAACATTGTACTACTTTGGGGAAGTGATCAGTATTTTTTTTTTTTTTTACACAATTTGCTTATAGCAAAGAATTACTTTGCTATAAGCAAGCATTTACCTGAATGAAATCGATTCATTCAGCTTTTTTTTTTTCTTTTTTGTGCTTAGCTGTGATTTGGTCACAGCTAATCACATGACATGTGCATGTGATTAGCTGTGACCATTCACAGCTAGGCACTAGTATACAATGGATGGCATCATGAATGAAGCCATCCATTGTATACAACTGTCATGTGACCTGCTGTGATTGGTCACAGCAGGTCACATGGTACCAGCAACGGGAGCCGGTACTCGGATCTGTCATCGGCCGTGTCCGAGGTGCACGGCCGGTGACAGATCGCACTGCTGCGCCGCTCTGCATTAGCGCAAACTGCGCATGTGCGGGAGCACGCCAAATGGCGTGCACCCGGAGTGCAGAGGCAGTTTTGAAGCCGCCAAACGGCCATTGGCCGGGCGGCTTATGGTTAAATGAAAGGTGTGCACAATTTCATTACTATTTCAACCCAACTAAGACGTCCTTTCTATACCGCAGAACTACCACAGAAGGATATATGGGGTACAGTCTGTCATGGTCGGTGCTGCTGATTTGGGGCTGTGCCTATGTTGCCATAAAAAGTTACTGAAAGCCTCTTCAAAGTTACATCACAAGATTCTAGGAAATGAAACAACTTCCTCAGCTGCCCCTGGAGCAAGGGAATAGGCTGCTTCACACATTTCTCTGGCATTCTCCTTCTTTCTCTTCCAGTCAATGGGGTTGATTTATTAAAAGCAAATAGACTGTGCACTTTGCAAACTGCAAGAGCAGTTGCTCCAGAGCTTATCAAATAAACAGAATCTCTGATAACTTCCATTATCCAATCATGTGCAAGAAAATATGATGTTTTTTTGTTTTTATTTTTATTGCACATGATTAGGTATTCTTTGCAAAGTGAAGCTTCATCTCATTTACTGAAGTAACTGCACTTCGCAAAGTGCACAGTTTATTTGCCTTTAGTAAATTAACCCCAATATACAGGTGAAACTCGAAAAATTAGAATATCATGCAAAAGTTCATTTATTTCAGTAATGCAACTTAAATGATGAAACTAATATATGAGATAGACTCATTACATGCAAAGCAAGATAGTTCAAGCCGTGATTTGTCATAATTGTGATGATTATGGCTTACAGCTCATGAAAACCCCAAATCCACAATCTCAGAAAATTAGAATATTACATGCAATTAATAAAACAAGGATTGTACATAGAACAATATCGGACCTCTGAAAAGTATAAGCATGCATATGTACTCAGTACTTGGTTTGGGCCCCTTTTGCAGCAATTACTGCCTCAATGCGGCGTGGCATGGAAGCTATCAGCCTGTGGCACTGCTGAGGTGTTATGGAAGACCAGGATGCTTCAATAGCGGCCTTCAGCTCTTCTGCATTGTTCGGTCTCATGTGTCTCATCTTTCTCTTAGCAATGCCCCATAGATTCTCTATGGGATTCAGGTCAGGCGAGTTTGCTGGCCAATCAAGCACAATAATCCCACTGTCGTTGAACCAGGTTTTGGTGCTTTTGGCAGTGTGGGCAGGTGCCAAGTCCTGCTGGAAAATGAAGTCAGCATCCCGATAAAGCTCGTCTGCGGAAGGAAGCATGAAGTGCTCCAAAATCTCCTGGTAGACGGCTGCATTGACCCTGAACCTAATGAAGCACAGTGGACCAACACCAGCAGATGACATGGCTCCCCAAATCAATACAGACTGTGGAAACTTCACACTGGACTTCAAGCATCTTGCAGTGTGTGCCTCTCCATTCTTCCTCCATACTCTGGGTCCTTGGTTTCCAAATGAGATGCAAAAGTTGCTTTCATCAGAAAAGAGGACTTTGGACCACTAAGCAACAGACCAGGTCTGTTTTTCTTTAGCCCAGGTAAGACGCTTCTGACGTTGTTTGTTGTTCAGGAGCGGCTTGACAAGAGGAATACGACATTTGAAGCCCATGTCCAGGATCCGTCTGTGTGTGGTGGCTCTTGATGCACTGACTCCAGCCTCAGTCCACTCCTTGTGAAAGTCCCCAACACTTTTGAATGGCCTTTTCCTGACAATCCTCTCCAGGCTGCGGTCATCCCTGCTGCTTGTGCACCTTTTTCTTCCACATTTTTCCCTTCCACATAACTTTCTATTAATGTGCTTTGATACAGCACTTTGGGAACATCCAACTTCTTTTGCAAATACCTTTTGAGGCTTTTCCTCCTTATGGAGGGTGTCAATGATGGTTTTCTGCACAACTGTCAGGTCAGCAGTCTTTCCCATGATTGTGATTCCTACTGAACCAGACTGAGAGACCATTTAAAGGCTCAGGAACCCTTTGCAGGTGTTATGGCCTAATTAGCTGATTAGAGTGGGACACTTTGAGCCTAGACTATTGCACCTTTTCACAATATTCTAATGTTCTGAGATTGTGGATTTGGGGTTTTCATGAGCTGTAAGCCATAATCATCACAATTATGACAAATCATGGCTTGAACTATCTTGCTTTGCATGTAATGAGTCTATCTCATACATTAATTTCACCTTTTAAGTTGCATTACTGAAACAAATGAACTCTTGTACGATATTCTAATTTTTCGAGTTTCACCTGTATGTACTGCCTGTTGATGTCAATGGGATTCTCTGACACATTGGGGTGCATGTACTAAAGAAAACAGACTTTGCACTTTGTACGTGCAGAGCTTTGTAACTATGGTAAAGCTCTGCTGGTTTCCATCATCCAAACGTGCAAACAAAAATGCTGTTTTTTTTTATTTTCCTTGCAACTGATTGGGTATTCTTTATAAAGTGAAGTTTTACCGCATTTACATTTACTAAGGAAAGTAAGTGCAACTGCACTTGCAAAGTGTACAATCTATTTGCCTTTTGTAAATCCACTCCATTCAGAATCAAAAACATGTGAAAGAGAGATCTCTTCAGAAGGTGATAAAAGCCAACATAATGATATGATTTTGCTGTGCATATAGAATGGTGCAGTGGATAGCCCTGCAAATAAGTACTGTGGGTTTACAAAACCTGATTTATCTGATCAGGGTCTTTATTAGCACAGACTTTTTTCAGGTATTGCCATTTTTTTATTCTAGTTCACTGATTTTAATTTATGAATATTTATTTATCAGAATATATTCACATTTGGACACTGGATAGGTGATTGAACAGTGTAGTATGTTTGCCTTTATAGTTTATCCGTCTTGTGCTTAGCACAGAGGCAGTGGAGATTAGCAATGTTTGGATATTTACCTTACCTGCGCCTGGAGTTCAGTGGGCAGGCATGTGACATACCACAAAGAAGGTAAGGGAAGACAAATCCGAAAGCAGGCTTTCTGCATGCTTTATCGAATAAATATGACTGAGCTTTACTAAACTATTCATGGTGCAAATGCAGAGCAAATGAGTTTACAGGATTGAATTATATATATATATATACACTATATTGCGAAAAGTATTGGGACATCCCTCCAAATCATTGGATTCAGGTGTTCCAATCACTACCTTGGCCACCGATGTATAGAAACAAGCACCTAGGCATGCAGACTGCTTCTACAAACATTTGTGAAAGAATGAGTCACTCTCAGGAGCTCAGTGATTTCAAGCGTGGTACTGGCATAGGTTGTCACCTGTGCAATAAGTCCATCCATGAAATTTCCTTGCTGCTAATATTCCACGGTCAGTGGTTAGTGGTATTAATACAAAGTGACAGCAACTGGGAACAACAGCAACTCACCCACCAAGTGGTAGGCCACGTAAAATGACAGAATGGGGTCAGCACATGGTAAAGCGCACAGTGCACAGAAGTCGTCAACTGTCTGCAGAGTCAATAGCTAAAGACCTCCAAACTTTGTGTGGCCTTCAGATTACCACAACAACAGTGTGTAGAGAGCTTCATGGAATGTGCTTCCATGGCCGAGCAGCTACATCCAAGCCTTACATCACCAAGTGTAATGCAAAGCATTGGATGCAGTGGTGTAAAGCATGCCGCCACTGGACTCTAGAGCAGTGGAGATGTGTTCTCTGGAGTTACGAATTACGCTTCTCTGTCTGGCAATCTGATGGACGTGTCTGTGTTTAAAGGTTGCCAGGAGAAAGGCACTTGCCTGACTTCATTTTGCAAAAAACGTTTGGTGGAGGGGGGATTATGGTGTGGGGTTGTTTTTTAGGGGTAGGGTTTTGCCTCTTAGTTCCAGTGAAGGGAAGTCTTAAGGTGTCAGCAAACTCAGACATTTTGGACAGTTTCATGCTTCCATCTTTGTGGGAACAGTTTGGGGATGGCCCCTTCCTGTTCCAACATGACTGTGCACCAGTACATCAAAGCAAGGTCCATAAATACATGGATGAGCAAGTTTGGGGTGGAGGAGGAACCTGACTGGCCTGCACAGAGTCCTGACCTCAATCCCATAGAACACCTTTGGGATGAATTAAAATGGAGACTGCGAGCCAGACCTTCTCGTCGGACATCAGTGCCTGACCTCACTTTTGTTGCCAGCGGTTTAGACATTAATGTGTGTGTGTTGAGTTATTTTGAGGGGACAGCAAATTTACATTGTTATACAAGCTGTACACTCACTACTTTACATTGTAGCAAAGTGTCATTTCTTCAGTGTTATCACATGAAAAGATAGAATAAAATATTTACAAAAATGTGAGGGGTGGACTCTTCTGTGAGATATTGTATTTAGAAAAGCTGAACCATTATGAGAAGAGAAATTGTAATTGTCTTCAGACACACCACACACAGAAAAGCACATCAGAAACTGCAACTCCACCAGGATTACCTTTTGTTCTTGACTTTAATGTACAACCTAAACGTCCTTTACCTTCTCTGACTGAACCAAATCCCCCTTGGTTTGTTTCTCTGAGTCCTCATGCAAACTGGATGTTTTTACAGCTGCTCTTTTTGGCTTTTGACATTCTTTTCTACAGCCAGTAAACTCCCCAGCATGTTATCCTATGTGTCCATGGACACATAGACTTGGCAGGGGCGTTTTTTGTCTAGAAAAAACCCCCAGAACTTGTGGGTTGCTATAGGAGATTTTTACCACTGAAAAACGTGGCAAAACATAGTAAAATGTGGTAAATTGCAGCAAACCAGCGTTTTTGGACATTTCTTTTGACCAAAAAAATATATTTTAACCCTGGAAACGCAAACTCAAAAAAACGCAGCAATACCCCGCTAAACGCTAATATAAAAACACAAAAAAATGCTGAAAAAGGTTTTTAACATGAGTTTACACAGCTAATGTTACCAGCATTATTAAAAGGTCCAGTGTGCATGGAGCGTTATGCTCCCCCTCCCAGACACTGCAGCTCACAGTGGGAGGGTTTCAGCAACAATCCAGTGGCAGTGGCCAGGACTAGATGTAGCCAGGTATTGATTGACAAGCTACAGGCTTGTGAATCAGCAGTGACAATGCCAATAATTATATTCACCTGCCTAGTCTTCTCATCCCGCTGTAGTGTAGTCAGGCATAACCTAGAGTACTATATGGCAGTACTCTTAAGTCACATGTGCTGCATCATTACAACCACATCACAAGAAACTGCATTAGGTGGACTATACTGGGAGGCTCAACAGGCGTTACAAGGATTAAGAGAAATCTGTAAGTGCAGATGCACATATTGAAGTGCTACAACATTTTTTTTAATGTAAGGCCAAAATTCAACCAATAATATTAATAATAAGATTAATAAAAACAACAAATTTACTCTGGTATAGTGACCACAGTAATATAAACAATATGTTTCCTGTCCTGTAAATGTGCACTTTTAAGGTAAGCCTTCCCACTGGATACTAGTACAGCCTGGAATCAATCATTGTTAGTGTTCATGGCAACACCTGCATCCCACATTCTGCATTTTGGCACTACCTAATCTTCCACTGGGTGTCCTCCTCTTGCATTTTTTTTTTTGCCATCCTTATCCCTGAGCATGCATGGTCAAGAGCTATGCAATCTACCTTTGCTTCATATGCAGACAAAATAGCCCTGGGATTATTCCTAAATTAAATTAAATGGTGCATCAAGATGTGGCAATGTCCCAATGGACTAGCCACCAGATCCCTATCAGGACCCAAGGTATTGTCAGTTACATTTCTGGGCATTTGGGAAGAAACCCACTAGTACATAACCACAAGGAAAATGATTCCTAAATACTGTGATATACATTATATCTTTAACATAGATGCTTATGTCGTCATTTTTCTTTCCTAGCTCCAAAGAGAGAGCTTTCCAGGAATGGCCATACACACTTAGGGCTCATGTACACTGCAGCTGATAAACTCATGTTCAGGAGCTGTTCAGCATTTTTTTTTCAGCAGCCTCTGAACTCTCCCTAATGTTTTCCTATGTGTCCATGTACACATCATCGTTTACAGGCAGTTGAGTTTACAATCGTTTTTTTTTAATGCACCAAACTTGCGTTCAGGAGTAGATTTTATCAGCGTTTCAAATGCCAAACACTTGTAAATGCTTGTAAATGCGGCTAACTGTTCCATATCCAAATGCTGTCCAGAGCCTTTTTTCCTCATCAGAAAGCATTTTCCATGTATTCAAATGGACCTAGCACACCAGTGCAGTCAGTTCCAGGTTTTGCGTGAAGAAAAAAATGGTAGAACATGCCGCATTAGGCTCATGATGGGATCCATAGCGCATACAACCAGAAAAGATAGGTCTTCTCAACACATACTGCTGTCTCTGCTTCTGCTCTCTCAATTTCTCTCAAAATGTCTGAAATAGTAAATTTTTTACTGTTTTTCAGTGCATTCTGGGAATTTTGGAAGGTCTCCTGAGGTTATCTTAAAAAAGCGCTTCTAAGCGCAAACGCTCATAAATACACATAAATGCGCATAAACGTGGTATGCAAACGCAGTTAAACAGACATTTTTTAACCTACGTTTTCCAGCAGAAGTGTTTTCCAAATGTCCCGTGTACATGGAGCCTTTTTTTTTTTTTTCCAACCATTCTTTGATCCACACAAATAAAGTATATAGGGGAAGTCCATCGCTAGGGCATTGTGTTCTGACAGTGGCAGCAACTGATCAACTAAACAATTTCAATTGTGCCCCTTAAGCCTAGTACACACGATCAGAAAAATCATATGAAAAATACTGCTTTTGAAGCAATTGTATGACAATCTGATCGTTAGTCTGATTCATCCTAAATTATTTGAAGGGACAAGCACAAATATTTTTCTTGTATGATACCAGAGCGTACGATTTTTGTTTAATCAGCACAGTTTTCATCTGAAAATACAATACAAATACATTACACCACTTCTGAATATTTGTTCTGTCATACAAGAATTTTCATAATTTTAGTAACCTCTTCTCTTTCAATATGAGACTAGTGTGCAAAAAAAAAAATGGATGATCATTTGTCCGATATTCTCATTATGTGCATGGGGCTTTAGACTGAAATAAAATAATCCACTTGTGTTGAGCGGGGGAAAACTACACACTGATTGAAATTCATCAGGTATGGCAGAATTTTGAGCAGTGTATTGCCAGCCTAAGGCTACTTAGAAAACGTATATTTTGTTTACTCCCGACTACTTTGTCACAGAAAGATAAAGTAAAACTTCAGCCTCCTGGCTATTTTGTCTGCCTAGACCCTCATCCTGCTTTAGCAGACTAAGGCTACGTTCACACTAGTGTTGTGTGAAGGCGGCAGAGAGGCATTTGGGAAGCGTTTTTACCACTTCCCAAACGCCTCTGCCAATTCTGCACATTACAGCACATGGTGCTGTTCTAACGGGAGCGTTTGCGTCGCATCGCGGCAAAACGGATGCCTCTGGTCGAGTCAGGAGGCGTTGAAGCCTCCTATTCTAGTCTATGGTGCCGCTCCACAAACGCCTGGCCAGCGTTTGCGGTGCGGTTGCGACGCGGTTCCGGGGCGTTTGCGGAGCAGTAGCACCATTCAAACTGCATTATAGGCGTTTGTGGGGCGTTTTTAATGCTCGGCAAATGCCTAGCAACCGCCGCTAAACTGCGCATGCGGTGTTTGCGGAGCGTTTGCCGAGTGTTAAAAAACGCTTCACAAACGCCGGTCCAATGTTTGCCAAACAACATAGGGGCGTTTGGCAAGCGTTGATAAAACAGCCAAGTGTGAACGAGCCCTAAGGCTTCATGTACACGAGCAGCTCCTAAACTCGAGTTTTGGAGCTTTTGGCATTTGGTTTGCCAAATCTCCTAAACTCAACTCCATAAAAGTCAGTGTCCATGTACACATAGGCTTTTAGCAGAGTTTAGGAGCTGAGGTAAGGTTAAACCTCTCTCTCCTGAACATGTAAGAATTGCGTTCAGGATAGGAACGTTTTGAAAACACAAAATGCTGCAAAATCACGGTACCGCAGTTGCCACAGTTTGCCGCGATTTGCATTTTCCTGCGGACGGCGGTCAGGGTAGGCTCGTGTACAGGGATCCTAAACCTTTCTTCAGGCATCGGTCTGCCTCTAAGGTCAGACAAGCCTGGACACTTGGTTTTTGCGTGCCTGTCTAAACACATCCACTGCTCCAGCAGCAATCTGTCTCCCGGGGAGGGAACATTGACTATCTAGACAGATTCCCTTTTGTGGGGCAACAATCACCAGTCTCCAATGTGTCTCACACCTTTTGAGGAACCTTTTCACACGGTCTAAACAGGTAATATCTGTATCTTTAGGCCTCATGCATACTGGCCCATTTAACTCCACTGCATGAGATCCTAGCATTTTGGTGCAAGTAGAAGACACATCCCATCTGCTGACAGCCTGTAGGACTTTTTAAGACTGAAAGCTGCTTAGGCTGGACAGGGCTGGATGTTGCACTGGTTCTATGGTTTAGAGTAGAGTGTGCCCAGAAACGTATGTCAGGAATATAAGCAGTCTGCATTCTAGGCATTCCTCCTTGGGTTAATGCTGCCCTAAATCTCATTATGGTGCACTGTCCAGTTGCAGCAGCTTCCAGCTTTTCATAGAGTTTTACAGGCTGCAAGCAGTAGGGCAGGGAGGTGCACCTATGCCTTCCAGCCACACATAAACACAGGGATCTCATGCACTGGGCTAAATGCCAGGTGTGCAGAAGGCCTTAAACAGTGACAGACAGGGGCAGACTGACCATTCGAGCACTCGGGCACTGCCTGAGGGCCC